GAAGCAGCGGAGCTGGAGTTCCCGCGACTTTTCGGCCCACTGAAGCTTCAGAACCAGACGCTTCAGTCTCTTCGCACAGAGTGTGTTGAAGCTGCACACCGAGCCGTTGCCACAGTCTGCCTGCCGGACGGCTGCGATGAGTGGAGCAAGTATTCGCTTCCGCGATGTGACGTGATTCTAGGACTCCCCTACGACTTCGGAGATTCTAATTTTGCATTGGCACCAGCATGCGTGCTTTCTGGCCAGTACTACTGCCCCCTAGGGCTTCCATTGGCTTTGAAAGTCACTTTGAAAGCAGCTAGCCGATCAGCAGCCATTTGGGCAATGATGCTGGAAGGCCTCATGCCTGCCGTCGTGTCCGCACACCGGACATTGTCGGTGGCACTCAGCTCGAAGGGCAACATCCGATCTTTCCTTCGGGAGTGGATCGAGCAGGAAGAGATCCGTCTGGGCTGCTCGCCGGAGCTTCAATTCTTCTCCATTTCAAGGTGGGATGGGCTAAAGAGAGTGCATCAGATCGAGCAGCAAGCAGTAACGTGAGATTTCCTCTGTGCTAATGCTCACAAGGCACGATTTCCTCCATGCTCCATCTCACCCCAAAGATCCCAAGGCCTTGAGGCATCTAGCTTTCGACCGCTGAGGTCCGTGGCAAAGATGGAGGAGCAGGCTCGGATTGGCCTCCCCATGGCACTGTGTCCGACCTGTTGTCGAACGGCGGCTGGCCGACTGCGTGTCGTGTTTTTGCGGGACCCGTTGGCGAGGATGTCAAGCTTCTTTCATGGGTATTTTCTGAAGCAAAAGGAGCGCTTGCTGCCTCAAAGCGATCCGCACCTATTTGAGACTTGGATTCGTTTGATCCTGAGTCCAAACGCTTCAGCATCTCCGCTATTCGAAGCAAGCGACTTGGATCACGTCCGGCCAGCATTGGACAGGTCGCCGACAGATGACCCGGAGCAGGTGATCTTCTGCATAGAGGACGTTGAGAAGTCGCTGCGTCGCGTAGAAAGCGCTTTGTGTACCAGATTCGGCCACTGCACCCCCTTGCCGAGCTTTCCTGCTGTGAAGCGGCAGTCAAAGCGAGAGCCAAAGATAGGAGCTGAGGTGGCC